GTTTTCCCACTGGATCAATATTATTGCTGCATAAATGTGTGTGTTGCATTTTATTGCTGTGGATGTTTAAAGTTGTGCTGCTGTAAAAACAAACCAGTTTGATGTTAAACCAACAACAGGCTGGACTGGTACGCTAAATTTTACAACGAGGTGTCACACTTGACTCAACAGCTGCTCCAGCATGAAACATACTGACAAAGCGTCCCAACAGCAAACAGGTGTTCAATGTTCGTGTGTAACATCAGAGCTCTCTGTCCACACTGAAACTCATTTTTTGCAACCACTGCTGTACTAAAAACACAGCAAACCCCATTTTTGGCTATTTGACTGTTTTCCAAATTTGCAGACATCTTCAGCTGCTGTTCTTCTCCTTTGAGTTAGCCGCTAACTGCTGCTAGCTGCTTTTTAAATCTCCGGAGAGTGGAGGGTCGCACAGATAACTTGACGTCAAAACGGCACATCTGCCCTGCCCGTGGTCCCATCCTGTGGTGACGCTGGTTTAGCACTGTTACAACCTCCACTGCCCGCTAGAGGCTAAACACAATGTGCGCTGCTCTCCCCCTCCTGCCTGTACTGAAATTTGATCTCTTCATGTTGCCGTACTCCCTTCAGGGCCTATCAGACACTATTGGCAAGGGCATGTCTCTATGAATTTTGCATGTTCTCCCTGTGTCAGCGTGGGTTTCCTCCAGGTGCTCCAGCTTCCTCCCACAGTCCAAAGACATGCAGGTTAATTGGTGACTCTAAATTGTCCGTAGGTGTGAATGTGAGCGTGAATGGTTGTCTGTCTCTATGTGTCAGCCCTGTGATAGTCTGGTGACCTGTCCAGGGTGAACCCTGCCTCTCGCCTGACAGCACACCTGCAGGACCCCTGACGGGATAAACGGTTACGGAAAATGAATTAATGTTATAATGATAAAAGCTGGTTCGATCAGTTTGCGTTAAATCAACCAAATCAAACCGGTTTAAGCTGCACATCGGATGGGACAGGCAAAACAAGAGATCAACTAGGGCTGAGCGATAAGGAGAAAATCACGCATGACAATATTTGACCAAGTACCTTAATTATCAATATTGTGGGGTTAATTTACCCTGGAAATCCAGAGTTCTCGCGAGAGCACAATTTGAATTTGCTCAGCGAGTCACTCTGGCAATCAGTAATGATGCTCATTACCCATGCCGTTGGAGCCGAGCTGCACCAATCACATCAGTGTATCTGATATAGGCGGGCCAGAGGCGAGCTAAACAGATGACGACAGCGCTGCAATGACGAAGTCCGGAATCAGTCAGTAAACACTGCAAGATGGCTACAGATGAACACCAGTTGTTTGAAACGGCTTTGGCTGCTACAATGAACGAGTTAGACTTGGCTTTTTCTCTAAAAGAGGAACAGAAGACGGCGCTCGAGTCTTTCCTTTGCAAGAAGGACGTTTTTTTCGCTGTTTTGCTGACCGGATACGGCAAGAGTCTAATCTACCAGTTAGCTCCGCTGGTAGCTAAGCTCTGGATACGTCACCCCGTGTATTGTTCTGATTGGTCGTAGTGTTATCCAGTTGCATGCAGTGATATTTTCAAATGCATGCTTGGTGCTGCCCCTCGAGTTGGGCCATTTGCATTACTCATAGCCAGACCCTAAATCTTTCTAGATTTGGGTCTGGATTTCCAGGCTAGGGTTAACTATTGGTGCTTTTACACAATATTTACACAATGAGATTACTGATAAATAACCATCCATCCATTCAGAAAAACAGTTTTCAGCTTTGTGACGATGCATTTTCCAGCTGATCCAGGAGGGTTTTTAAATTATATTAAATAAATCGCTGCTTTAATACATTAACTTCTTATACGTCTTTAAAGTGAGTGAATGAGAGGCCTGTTGTTGTTGTGGTGGTGGTGGAGGCGGTGGTTAAATCCTCCCACTGATGTTTGATGTGTTGAACACTCCTGCTGCTAAAAGGCCTCCAGAGGAAAATAATCTGCCTGTTTCTCCAGACAAGCGTCCCATAATTCATAGAGGCAACACAACCGCTGTAAACACTGGAGGATCGTAGAGGAAATGTCAGGTTCAACAGAGACGCTCTGACCTGGATATCTGTTGTTTTGTCTCTTTTACATGTAAACATGCCTTATTTCTTTTGTCTCTTATTCTGTCAAACACTTTATAAATAAAGCTTACAATCATTTTTATTGAATTATTAGCTGCACAGTATTTTAGAGTCGTGTCAAACATGAAACTGAAACACATAAAATTGATTTTCTGGTATTCACAGACAGAAAATAAAACTGTCTTCACAGGAGATAAAAATGGATTTCATGGAGACTCTCTGCATCAGTAACAGCTGACTGAACACAACCGCACCATGATGAAAATGTGTCAGCTCACTGACACTGAAACACAAAGACAACACTCTTAGAAAGCCGAGAAGTCTGACGATTTACCTTCAGTGTGTTGACAGTTTGAGCATCAAACTCATCAGTCCATTCTGATCGGCAGGTGTGGGAGGGAAAACTGTGAAAACCTCTTTATGTTCAGGTCTGATGCTGCGTTCACATCACATCACGCAGACTGTTACAACAAGCAGGGGAGTTAAACAAAACTGTTCACACCAGACACCTCGCTGTTATTGTGATATATCGTAAAAGTCTCATGATTGCTCGGCAAAACAAAAACTACAGAGAGGTCGATAAACTCTTAAGAAAAGAGCTGCAGAGCCACAATCACTGCATGTACATATAATCCATCTTGAACTACTGCGATCAGCTCACATGTTCACAGAGGAGAGACACATCTGTGCAGTTGAAACTCGCTTTCCAACAGCAGAACGAGGAAGATGTTTCTGTGTGCAGATTATAGGACATATAAAGCACTTTTCCACAATAAAAGGACAAAACATTATTCACATATCAAAAGTCTGACCATCAGGAGCGACTCAGGATTCAGTGTCTTGCTCAACAAGGACACTCTGACATGTGGACAGGAAGAGCCGAGGAACAAACCACCAGCGACTGTGTGACTAATGGACGCTGTGCCTTCTGAACCACAGCTGCTCCATCATGTTAAACAATCAGAGCGACGCTGACAGCACTGAACTGCAGGATGATGTCGAGTTTGAGGTCAATCTGAAGTGAACACGAGGATTTACTGAAATATAACATGAGCTGTGATTTCAACGCTCTTTTATCCAGTCAAGAAAAATAAGATTTTTGTTGTTGTCTCGGCTCATTTTTTAAAAAAAAAATATTTCTGCTGTTGAATAATCTGATTTAATTTAATGTCCAGTGTTGGAAAATAGGTTTACTTTCCTTTATTGTTAACAAATAAATAAGGGACTGTTCTATATTTATCAGAGGAGGAGGGAAGCCCGGGTATGACTGGGTTCTTTGTTTCGTTTTGTTTTTTTTTTTACCCTCCCCGAAGCTACACATATGTTTTCCTCGAGCCTCTCTGAGTGCCTCGCGGGAAATGCACGACCCTCCCTGCACCGGAAATTAGTTATTAGATTTTAAAAACTTACCCTTTCATATTTGAAAGTTAAAAGTTAAGTTTTTTTTAAATTTGGCCAGTGTTTTCAAGGATTATTTTGGGATTTTTTGCCTTCATTTTTTAGGACAGTCTAGGCATGAAAGGGGGGACAGAGAGAACCTGCAGCCGCTGCAGCTAAAACACTGGCTTCAAATATGGGACACCTGCTCTACCCGCCGGAGTCACTGGGCGCCCCAAATTTGGCCAAATTTGAGGTGAGATAAAATGTCACTGTTCTAAGCTCAGATTTGGTCATGGCTTTTCTGACAGAACCATTCCTCTCACATAATGCGTTCAAGGACCATTGGAAATTTGAAAATACAATGATAACATATTCTCCAAACTCGCTGGTTTGGAGAATATGTTATCTTAGAAATCATCTGTAAAAATCTGTATGTCCCTCCCCTGAGCCACAATAAAAAACAAGACCCAGTGTTTTAAAAAATAATTTGACATGCCTCCCTCTTTCTGCATCGCCCCCGCTCCTCTCATCAATAAGCAACAGTCCCTAAAGATTTTTTGTTTGAGCTTTTATTGAGTGTTGCAAGGGTTGAAAGCCTGCTGACAGTGTTTGTGTTTCACCCTCCTGCACAAATCAACAGCCAGATAAATGCACCAGAGGCCCTGCACACACACACACACACACACACACACACACACACGGACAGACAGACAGACAGACAGCTCCTCCTGTTCACCTCCTCTCAAACACCCCACAGTCTGCAGGAAGCTGATGGAGACAGAGCTGCACTGCAACAAACAGGCCCGAGCTCCAACAAACCCAAACCCCCTCTATGTGCTTCCATTATCGGACACAGCTGTGCACGATTTTATTTCATTTGAGTCCAGAAACGTTTCCGACTTTAAATCATCCGGAAACAAACCTGTGGTGTGAACAGTCGCAGCGGTTAATGTGTTAACGAGCACTGCGTCGGTTCACCGTGACAGGCGATGGTCGCCTGCAGCTGCAAGGCAATTTAAAGCCCGGAGTCAGCAAGTGGGAGGGTTCCATTATCGGACGCACAGCCGCCTGGACTCCAACAATATTCAGTCTTAATTATTTCGTGTGTCAGTCTCAACATGTCATTTAACACAGGAAACAGGCTGTTCTCCACTCGTGTTTACACGGGTTAGAAATTTAATATCAATAACCAAACATGAGCACGTCGGAGGCCAATGAACGCATCATTAAAACCACTATAACCGGATGAAAGCACACGGTGCTCGGTGTCTCCGGTGGACTCGGTCTGATGTGAAAATATTTCGGGGACAAAATGAAGAAGCGCTTCGGAGGGAGGCGTGTCCGACAATGGGCGCACCGAGGTTCCCGTTAAACGCTATAACGTTTGTTAGCTCCCCCGGGTTAGCTAGCGTTAAACAAGCTAACCGGGCGAGCTGGTTTCAAACGTCAACACCGTCACCGGGTCCGTTAACGCGCGAGACAGAGTCGGTAACGGTGAAATAATGTGACTCGTACCTTGTTGTCTCTGCTGGTTTTTCCCACAGATAACTGGAAGGATCATGTTTAGGTCATTCTCTCACATGTGACGTCCATGTTTGCTGTCTGCTGCGGCGTCAAGCTACAGATAATAACGCTTCCTGCTTCCGGTCACAGGCTTCAAAATAAAAGCCCTGTTGACAATAGTTTGGTGGAACAGACCCTTAATGTTCATTATTACTATTGATTAAGAGTCATTTTCTGCACTTTCGCTATTTTTAATGGTGCTTTTTTTTTTTTAAATCATTTATAATTAATTTTACCATTTATATCTTATTTCTCTTTATTCCTTTCTGTATCCTTTATTATGTTTTATATTTCATTGCTCTGTAAAACACTTTGAATTGCCCTTGTGTATGAAATGTGCTTTACAAATAAAGCTGCCCTGCCTCATTAGTAGTATTAATTAGAAGTATGAATGTCCAGAGGTGAAATGCAACTTGTACTTCATTTGAGTATTTCTATTTTCTGCTACTTTATACTTCTACTCATCTCTCTACATCTCAGAGAGAAATACTGTAGACTTCTTTGTATATTAAGTGTATTTAATATTGTGCACTACATATTTTGATAAGTTACTTTGCAAATTCAGACAACAATAATAATAACAATAACACTACTACTAATTATTATTAGTAGTGGTAGTAGCAGTAGCAGTATAAATCTGATAATAAATGATTGTGTATTATTCTAGATTAATGTATGCAGCAGTGTAAGAAATTAAAATAATTAAAATGAGCATCTTTACCAGCTCACATCACATTTAAGTGATGAACACTATAATGCAATAGTGATAATAATCCAGTAATATAAATATGTATTTTCCTGAAATGGGCCATTCTGCATAACGAGTACTTTTACTTTTGATACTTTAAGTACATTTTGATGCAAATACTTTGGTACTTTTACTAAAGTAGGAATTTAAGCACTTGTAACAGAATATGTTTTTACACTGTGGTATATAAACTTTTACTGAAGACCACTTCTAAAATAAAATACTCTGTTAAGTAAGTAAAACTGCTGCAATGAAAATGTTCTTAAGTAAAAGTATGATCAGGAAAATGTACTAAAAGTACATTAAGTACATAAATTACTAAAAGTAAAAGTAATTAATACAGAAAAATGTCTATTTTAACTCATATATTATATTATTAGATTATTACAGTGTTGAAAGAAGCACTCAGATCTTTTACTGAAGTAAATATTGTAGATTATCACCACAATCACCACAAGTAGAAAAACTATCAGCATACAAATGTACTTAAAGTGCTAGAAGTAAAAGTAATATTTTGTATTCCTAAACCAAATCTGGAAAGTAAGTCTGAGATGAAGTAGAAGTATGAAGCAGCATGAAAATAAAGTTCTCAAGTGAAGTACAAGTACCTTAAAACTGTACTTAAGTACAGTACTTGAGCCAATGTGCGTAATAACATTCTGCCATATAAATTAATCACACATATTTATAGGCGTTAAAGACATATCTATTCATACATCACATAAATTTGACCTTTAGCTGGATGAATCGCTCCCCTCCGTGCTTAATGATATTACAACTACTACTACTACTAATAATAATAATAATGAAGTTAATTTGTTCACTATCAGGTTTGTTTTACAGGATGCACAATATAAATCAGATATAAGATATTTTAAATTATTCATCTTTTTTTTTTAATCGAAAGATATCTACTCAAACAAATATCAGGAATGAAAACCCCCTAAAGTCCCAGACTCTGCAGGAGACAGTCAGAGAGATAACTGGTAAATATGTGTGATAGTTTCTGCTCCGTCAGCAGCAGCCTGCAGATCAATTATTACCCAGACCTGCAGCTGTGAGCAGCAGCGTGTCACCTGTGAGGTCTGACCTGAGGGTGAAGACCTGAACCAGAGATGGTCCTGTAAACAGGTCACGTAGAGCTCCACATGATTTATTAGGTTGTTATCTTTTAATAAACGTCGAAAGTTCTGTAGAAAGGAAAAAGACACTGTTAGAAATGAACCATTGACAAAGACAGTGAAATCACACAAACACAAATAAAGAAATGTGTGATTATTATTGCTGATATTTAAGATCTGCATTTCTTTTTATACAAGCTTTGTTTCCTCAAGACTGAACTGTTGACCTTCTGAGTGACGCCTGTTCTTATCAAAATGACTGTGAGCATAAATCAGCTCAATGTAAAAGGGAAAAAAATTATTTTAACAGTCTTTAAAAATAGATATTACAGCTAATAAAGATGTTTTCTCCCTCTCAAACTGATTTATTCCTCGTTACCGATATTTCCTTTCGAAAAGTTTGGGGCCCGTCTCAAACAAAAACTTTCTTCAAACGTTCATTGCACAAAAATGTTTTTAAATCTGATTTCCAGACTTTTCCATCCACACCTGATCTGATCTGACATGTTTCAGTGTTCAGTCTGAATCCTGGGAGTTGGTGTTGTTCCTCCTTTAACTCTGTTATGAAGATGAACTAACGGGAAGTGTACATCTGTATGAGTTTAGTAAATGTTACCACAAAAAAAAAAATGTAATAACAAGACATTTAGTCTAAAACTTTCCTTCCAGTGCAGCTCCTCTTCTTTGGGTGTTTTACAGGGTGTTTAGTGAACATGTTTAGAAAGTATTAGTCACCTGTAATCTGTACAAAAGCTTCACTTCTTGTTTTTAAAACGTGACCGACTTTATGCTTTTATTTTGAAGCCAGAGCACCTCTGTTTCCGGTTGTATTACCTATCCCTGGACGCAGTTGTCAGACAGAAACTGAACTGGTGAATGAATTATTTCTGTTTTTGGAGGTTTAAATACAGACAGTATTAATATTATTCACCAGAATAAAAACAACAATAAAACATCTGAATTAAACAATAATAAATTATTTAGTTGTGTTCACCTGCTGCAGTTTGGAGTTTAAACTGTTGTGTTACGATAGAGTTTAACTGTTGTATGGGATGACAGTCTGAATATATGAAAAAACCTTGAATGTATAGAATTAAAGTCCAGATATATGGAATCAATCTTGAATGAATGAATCCCAACTTGAGAATTAAAGTTTGAATATATGAAATAAAGTTTAAATATATTGAACAACAGTTGTAATATATAAACTTTCATTCTATATATTCACATTCTATTCCATGGATTCAAAGTTCATGTGATATATGCTGTCATTCCATGTATTCCTACTTTCATTCCATAAATTCACACTGTAATTCTATATATTACAGGTTTGTTCCATATTCAGTGTTTATTCCAACTCAAACTGTCATCCTTTATATTCTGACTTTCATTCTATTAATACAAGTTTCATCACGTTTCATTCCGTAGATTGAGTTTATTCGATATATGCGGTCATTCCATGTATTTTAACTTTCATTCCATAAACTCAAACTTTCATTCTATAAATTGCCATATTCAAGGTTCATTCCATACCACTCAAACTTTGATTCTATACATTTCAACCTTCATTCTATTAATACAAGTGTCATTCCACATATAAACGGGTTCATTCCCTAAATGAAAACTTTCTTTCCATAAATTCAAACATTCATTCTATCTCTATCTCTCTAGTCCAACTTTAGTCCTATATATACAAGTTTCATTCCAACTTTTATTCCATAAATTCAACTTTTCATTTTAAACAGTTTCATGCTTTATTACCACAGACATACCATATACTCAAACTTTCATTCTATACATTCTGACTTTCATTCTATATAAGTTTCGCTCTAAACATTCCAACCTTTATTCCATAAATGAAAATTTTAATTTTAAATATTCTAGTCTCAAGCCATATTGTGGCCGTCATTCCAAATACTAAAATTTTCATTTTATATATTCCGACTTTCATTCTGTTAATACAAGTGTCATTCCATAGGTTCAATCATAAAGTTCATTCCATAAATTTAAACTGCCATTCTATATTCTTCTTTATGTACAAGTTTCATTGCATATATTTAATTCCATACATTCAAACTTTCATTCCATAATTGTAAACTTTCATTCTATATATCCTCGTTCCATTTAATAGATTCAGATTTTATTCAATATATATGCTGTCATTCCATATACTCCACCTTTCATTCTTTATACTCCGACTTTCAGTCTATCAAAACAAGTTTCATTCCATATATTCAAGGTTGATTCCAAACATTCGTCACGCCATACTATGACCTTCATTCCATACATATTAATACAAATGTGGTATTACATACCACACTGGATTATATTTGTTTCAGCTATGCTGTGGTATATTTATGTAACCATACTTAGGTTGCATTTATATTTTTTTATATGTGGTAAATATCAGTTATAGTCCTATAAACACATAATAAGCTGTGATATACCAACAGTGTACAGCTGTATATTCATATAGACACGCTAAACTGTAGTAGAACCAATATAATGGAGAAATGGATACAAATAATATTATAGTATATGTGTATGATCATGAATGATATTTTATAAACTACACTGTTGTATGCTTATTACAGGCAGGACTTCAACAGTGTGGTATTAGTACTTTATACTTACTCCTCTACTGAGCAGTCCATAGATATAAATATTTCATCGCAGTATAAAACCAAACACACACACACACACACACACACACACACACACACACACACACACACACACACACACACACACACACACACACACACACACACACACAGAGCAGCAGTTCCAGGTTTCATTTGTTTATTTTCTGGAAAATAATGTGAAGGTACAGTCTCTTTAAAAATCTCTTCTGTTAGCTTCAGAAGCACCTCTGTTTGAAAACATATTCATATGTACAACACACTCAACATTCCCTGGTTATTTATTTATTACAAGGTTCAAATAAAAATCTGAATACAACAAAAAGTCAATTTATTATTCAAATACAAAGCAACAGATGCTGGACGCTCGTTTTTATTTTATTCTCCGGAGCCTAAAAACATGAAAAACTAACAATAACATTAATAATAATAATAATAATAATAATAATATGAGAGCAATTAATATCATACATCAATAAAAAATATGAAAAAATATGAAATATGGCCTTTAACTGATCCC